CCCCAAAACCCCAAAACCCCAAAACCCCAAAACCCCAAAACCCCTGCACTTTGAAGGGCACTTGAAATATAAGTAATGCAATTATCTAATAAATAAAAAGAAAGATGTACAGCTGAGATCATCCGGGATGAGGAAAATCTTTTACAAACAAGCATAGCTTGAAGAGACACAAGACTACTCATGACCCAAACAAGAAGTACAAGTGTGATGTCTGTTCCAAGAGCTTCTCCCTCCCTCAGTATCTTAAAGAACACAAGGTCGTCCATACAGACAAGAGACCTTTTGTTTGTAAGTTCCCTGGCTGTGGCAAGAGCTTCAGGCAGGCTGGAAAACTATCGATTCACAGAAAAGAACATAAGAATGACTCAAAGTCGAAGGCAAAAGTCAGAATTGAGAGAAAAGAGACTGACGTATCTTCAACAGAAGATTTTTACCCAAGTCTTTTTATGCCTCAGACACTGCCAGAGACATGAGGATTCATTAATCCCTTGGATAATTATTGCTTTTGAGAGAGTACCTTCCTCAATAGCATCCAAGTCCCTTCCCAACCATTACCTTGCTCAGTTGAGCTCCCATATCCTTTTAACGACTCCTACTGGAGTTGGACCATTAATTCTTGTCCCATAAGAAATTCAAACTAAAATAACTTCTTCCATTCATTCAAAAGAATCTTACCTGGTCATGGCTTGGGGTGGTTAGGTCTGGAGGAATGGCTGGGCAGTGAGGCTGGTCGGAGGGGATAGGGGAGAGGGAAGAGGGGGTAGAGGAGGGGTTTTTATGGGATGTGAGGGTGGAAGGGGGTGGGGGTTAGAGGGGTGTGGCTCTAGCATTTTGGGGGATATGGACTTAAAGGGTGATAAGATTAAGGGTTAGTGGTAAAACTTGCATAATTACTATACTTAAAATTTTTGATATTTATGTTATATCGTCAAAAGATGTTGAATATTAGGCGTTATGAACTTTTGAAAGGGTATGGTTAGAGAAACGAACGCTATATCCTTTGTTTGTGGACATGTTAATATCACTTTTTGCCTTCAAATGCTAACTATTTATCCGTTTTTAAAAAGAAATATAATTTAGGGACTGTGAAGAGAAAGATTCATAGAGCGAGTCCCAGTTTAGAGAGTTTATAATGTGTAAAATTCCAGTTTATTCCAACAGGAATTTCTTCGCTTCTTGTTTCTTAGGTTCTGAGACATGAAACTAATATATCAAAGTTGAGCTAAAGTTTTTATGAACACTTTTTGCAAGATAAGCTCAGAATGCCTCTAAAAACCCTCCGTTAAGGAGGGTTTCTCATGGTTATATTCCCAAGTTTCCAGCCTTATCACCCAAAAGGGGTGGAAACAGGTCGAGAAATTATGAAAAACTGCTGCTAATCAGGAATCAGTACTGGTGCTTGCCAAGAGCTAGCCAAGGTTCAGTTATAATATTATTAGTTGAAGAGATCATAATTGTATTTTAATATTCAATAATGGAGAAACATAGGGGTTTTGGGGTTTTGGGGTTTTGGGGTTTTGGGG